TAAAATGTTGGTGACCTGCCCAGGTTGCGCTTTCACCCATTGCATGATGATGCTTGCCCACCACAACCTTGACTAAAAGCAAAAATTACTTACATATGCAAACATTTGTATATATTTTTTTTTCCATGTTCAGCAGATAACACTTGAATGATGACATGCAGCAATCAAAGATATCTTGAGTTCAAACAGCAGTTGGAGTAACTAAGGCCAATCTGTTCCCTCTTCTTGAGAAAATGAAGACGTGAATACAATCGAGTCGTGTGTGTGATTGATTCGCATACATTAAAATAGCTTTAAACAACGACTCATGTACTGATCACAGCACAAATCATTCTTGTCCCTTTGGTAATTATTTCCTAATATATTCCATGCTTAAGAAATGTGTTAGGCTGCCACCCAGTGTGGTTCATGCCCCGAATTTCCTCATCAGCATTGGTATTTAACAAAATTCATCTATCTATCTATCCATCCAGCAATTTTCTATACCGCCTGTCCTCTTTAGGGTCACGGGTGAGCTGGTGAGCGTAACCACGCTGACTACGATCTCTAGTCCATGCAGAATCATCAATTAAATTGACTGTACAACAAAGGAAAAAAAATGGGAAAAGGAAAATACTTTCTGTATTTACCACAAAACCTCATGTGGATTGCCCAACCATCTGCACTCACACCGCCCATAAGGACAATTTAGAGCAGGGGTGTCAAACTCATTTCACATTGTGGGCCACATACGGCCTCGGTAGATGTCAAGTGGGCCGGACCATTAAAATGATACAATACTTTGCTATAAATAACCAAAACAACATGTCTTTCCTTTGTTTTGGTATAAAGAAGCACAAGAACATTAGGAAAATGTTGAAATTTATTGAACATATCTTTTACAAAACATTTCATGAAGCACCTTACATTTCCTTCGACAAATGTGCAATTTACTTTTATCATTCACATATATGCATTGCAACTGATCCCACTGATTGTACAAACTTTAACAAGTAATTGGTTTTGAAAAATATAGTAATGCACTTTAAGATTAAACGAGATTTATAAAGAAAGGAAGTTTTAAACCATTTACACGTGCATATAAAATCTAAATGTAATCCCTGCCTACACCTTACAAACTAAGGAGCGTGCTATTAAATGTGTAAATGTGAGAGTGCTATTGATAGCGTCTGCTGTCATGGGTCTGTCTCAGTGACGGACTGAGGCTGCTGTTGTCTTTTTCTCTGATCAAAACAGTGTCCCCTTGCGGATATTCAATGAATTGCACCTTATTAAAAATATTTATTCTGTGTCTTTTATGCATTTTCTTCACTTTTAAATTATCCTGTGGGGCCTGATTGAACGGCCCGCGGACCGTATGTTTGACACCACTGCTTTACATAATCATCTCGCGGGCCGGATTAAAGTCCTTTGCGGGCCGGATCCGGCCCGCGGGCCGTACGTTTGACACCCCTGATTTAGAGTATTCAGTCAATCCACATGCACGTTTTTGGAATGTGGGAGACAACATGTCTCTCAACTCAACTCAACTCAACTCAACTGTATTTATAGAGCACTTTAAAACAAAACGTGTATACCAAGTGCTGCGCATGGAGCAAATGTCACATATACAACAACAGAACAAGAAATTAAGAACCAAGACAGTAGAAAGCACAAAACAGTAAAACTAAGATCAAGTCTGAGTCATGCCGAGTCAAATGCCAAAGAATCCAAATGAGTTTTGAGACGAGTTTTAAAGATGGGCAACGAGGGGGCTTGCCGGATGTTCAGTGGGAGGTCATTCCAAAGAGAGGGACCAGCAATGGAAAAGGCTCGATCCCCTCTGAGCCTCCGCTTAGTACTTGGTACTTCTAATAATGTCTGGGTCCGCAGACCATGAGGCAGGTGTGTCGGGGCGGAGGAGCTCAGAGAGGTAAGGTGCAGCGAGGCCATTTAAAGATTTGAAAACAAACATGTACATAAATATACTGATGGCTGTGATGCTGGATTGTAAAACATCAGTGGGCTGCATCAAAAGTTTGCAATCTACTCACCGGTAAGTCTGTCTTGGGGAGACACCGATGAAGTACAGACCTGATACTGTTTTGTCAAGCTGACCATCTTTGCCATCATGTTGCGCTCACCCTTTGGCAAAGACGCTCCAATCAGGGATGAATAATGACAAGGCACAGTGGCATGCAGGGAACCCAGCTTTCTAATTAGTCTTCCATTAACTTTTTCAACCTTGACGGTTGTGAAGAGTGGCACACTTGCCTAGCTCCAAGGTGGAGTTATTGCTTCTTTTTAGCACAGTAGTTGTGATAGTTTTAAGACATTTGTCGAAGTAACATCTTGAGAAAAACAAGTTACAATTACTTCAAAACAAGTTCTCACATCGCAGAAGAGCTCTAGTAAGATACTAGTAAGTGTGTATATGACAAGGTCACTACGCATTTACGTCAAGACCAAGAATTCGCAATTTTGCTCTTCTCATTGAACTGTTTACAATGACACTCATTAGGATTGGCAAAAAGAATACATCATCCATCCATTTTCCGATCCGCTTTATCCTCACAAAGGTCGCAAGGGATGCTGGAGCCGATCCCACCTGTCTTTGGGCAGTAGGCCGAGTACACCCTGAACTGGGTGCCAGCCAATCGCAGGGCGCACAGAGACAAAGAACCATCCGTGCACACACTCACACTGCGGGACAATTTAGAGCACAGGTATCAAAGTCAAGGCCCGGGGGCCAGATCAGGCCCGCCACGTCATTTAATGTGGCCCCCTAACTGGATTGGATTGTTTGGATTTCAATTCACAATGAGGGATATAGAAGTAATCCATTTGGAGTCAAACTTGCTACTATCCTAAAACTTGTATTAACTTTACAGCCAACGTCATCAAGTGTATAGTTCAGTAAAATAAATCCGAATCATTACACATAAATCAGGCAGGCTTGTCTTTTGGAATAGGTGATGCAACAATGATTTTGCAGAGATTCGGAACGGTGCGTCTTCAGGGACGTTTTAACATTCAAGCCTCCGTGACAGGGAGATGTCATGCATTTGTTGGCCAACTTTACATATTCACGAGCAAAACCTACTGTAACAAAAAAAGGGTTGCATTCAATGTCGTCTTGGACTCCTCGCTTAAATACGCGATTGGAAACAATAATATGACCAGTGCTACACACACTGAAATTTCTGCACGGTTAAATCTGATCCCGGCAGTGGTTTCATGTGTAATGCAACAGTTTGGCCCCACTGGTGTCTTTTGTCATCCTCGAGCTCATTTTCCCATCTGTGCCGATGCGCCCAGCCTGACTAAAATGAACTAAATGAACAGGTTAAGTAACAGAACATCTTGTTATCCGCGGTAAGCGTAGGCTCATAAGCAGCCTTACTTTGAGTTTCACTATAAGGCTCGCCTTTATGATTGGTTTCACAGTGGGCAATCACTTTCAGGATGGAGCTCCATAAAAGACTAATGGAATTCCTGGGGAGCTGCAGCATAGCACACAGGACATTGTCACACACGTTTGCCTGGCATATTATTAGTTTTCACACATCAGTTGTCAACATGTACACAACTCCAAACGATTTCTTTCCCTAATTGACGGTTGAGAGTGAGACAACATTTTCCAAATAGTCGTCCTCTGGAGATCGAGCAAAAATAAAATGCCCCCATCCTGAAGTAACCCCTAACATTTACTACAAAGCCCCGGTGGTGGAACTATTTATAGATCTGTGCCTGTATGAAAACCAGAGGGTGGGCTCTTTGAATTTGATCCTTGTGTTCAGTCCAGAATGAGACGAAAGATGGTGAGATCCATTTCACCCTCCAAAGCAGCACAGCCAAATAACCATAATGGCATCCGTTATGCCTCTCTTAGTTGTCATGATGTGAAATGTCACTGTGCGTGCTCACATATCAAGAGACACGCAAGTTGAACTCAACCATTTTACTATATTTGGGCAGCACACATCAGACAGTCCTGGTGGCTCACAAATGGCAGGTCTGTCAGCATAGACATTTCCTATTTATTTATTACCCACAATGCTACAACACCCCAACATGCAACAGCCAAAGCAACACAAAAGAAATCACACAGATGGTTTTTTTTTTTTTTTTATTTTAATAACCTCACAAGGCATGTTATATACTTGCCTGAAGGTGTCGTGAGACAGAAGACTCATGGGAAATGATGCGCACCATCGCAGCGGGCTTTAATTGCAGCGTTGCCGTCTCTGCCTGCTCTGAAACCATCCACTGCCCTTCACGCCCCTCCACTCTGCTCTCCATGACCAGTCAAATTGCAGCCTTTGCGATTAGCAAATCGCAATTAGATTGCAAATGCAATTAACCATTCAGCCCTGGCATCGTGCTTTGGCAAGTGCTGGCACATACAATATATTCTCTCTTTTTTTTTTTTGTCTTATTACAGTTGATGTTGTCGGGCAGTTGTCAGTCAGCGTTTTATTGGGCCGACGTTATCTATTGTCAAGTCTGTGTCCGTACATTTTTATTTTATTCGAGCATTCATAGCACAGCCAAAGGGTAAAGTTGAACAAAATTATGTCACTTTGTTTTCAATGTTCAAGCTGGCTTACTTTTTTTTAAAAGATACCAATGTAATCATGGCTCTATTGCTCCCACATGTGAAGTAAAAACATGTATTTGCCATTTTAATTTTGTAAATTGCATGCGCAGTGAAAGCATTCTCGATTGCTTGTTCCTTTTGTGGTCTTGAAGGATATTGCTCTGCTGTAACGTGCACCCTTTTGGTGAAAGTAATTGCGGTTATGTGCTCCACTATTTGCTAAAAGCGCTCTCAAATGGCTAATTCAGGTGGTCTCGATAGGGATGGTACCTAATCAGGCTCCCGAACAAAGCTGATTGTGTCTCGCTTATGCACCAACTTTTAATATCCAAAATGTTTCGCTTGGTTACTCTGTTATTGAATGTGCTGAGTTTACTTTTGAGCTAATTGTTTTTCTTCACTTTTTTTCTTTTCTGTGCAGATCACGCGGGTCATTTTCTGTGTCTTCCTAGAAACTGACTTTAACATCTACAAGAAGAAAATGTCCATTATTTTTGAAGGTATGTGTCGTACATGTCTTTACTCCTTGCTGCACACAAACAGTTGTGATAATTCTTACCCTGACCCAATGTGTGAAAGTGAATTTTCAGTTGTAAAATGGGTTTTTTTTTTCTATCTGCACACAAATGATTCCAGGAAATGGTAAATACTTATAGGATGAAACGTTAGCTATTTCGAAGAAAAACAAACATTGCATGTACAAAATTTTATTAGAAGTTATCTTGATGTTTCAGAATGGTGCAGCAGATTCTATTTCTGCGAAATTATGCATCCATCACACAAATCATTGTCCAAATATAAAATAAACTGAAAATTGTGAATATTGTGATGCAGACTTTCCAGTTGACATTCATTGAATAAAAGTTCTTAATAAATTTATCTTAATTTGCAAATGCATTGATGCATCATATTGTGAGTTTTGTTGGCTTTGACGCTATCATCCAGTATGTGATTTTTTTTTTTTTTTTTTTTTTGTGACACCATCTTCTGGAAGATTAACACCAATAAATTATTCTGACAGTTTGGTAAAATAAGTGTATATGACCGTAAGAGTAAACGTAAATACTTGCTAAATTAATATGGACATTCCAGTGTGAGTTTAATGTAGTTTGTAACCTTTACAATCCCATACGCCAACGAAGTTGGGCCATTCTATATAATGTAAAATAAAACAATGCAACTTGGAAATCCTTTTCCACATGTCAAATTGAATACACGACAAACAAGCGATTTCAAATTGCTGAACTTTGTTTTGCAAATATTGACTCATTTTGAGTTTGATGCCTGTGACACGTTACATGATTACCACTGCATTGCAGCACCTTTAATTTGAACAACACTCAATTGTTGAAGCGTTGAAAGTGGAATTCTTTCCATATTGTTGCATGATGTACCTCTTCATTCTGGTTTGCCGTTACTGAAATAAGGTTCTGTTTTTTTCTTTAATTTGTACACAGTGTTACCGGTACACCTTCCTTGGAATTGGGCTTTATAAATGACTTCAAGAGCTTCAGTTGCAAATTTATTTGGCATGAGCAAATTGAGTAATGCATAACAGCCTCAGATAATCCTTGATTAGTGCTCGTCTATTCTTGGTGTGAGATAAACATCTGTTCCATTCTATTTTATGGCTCTCTCTTACACCCTCCATCCATGCTAGCTGCATTACTTCTTGGCGAGGGCAGAAGGCGTAACAAGTTCTGATGGGGGGCTCCATAGAGGATTGAGTTGAATAGCTTGGGAGCCACTCAGCCGAGGCTGTCTGGCTTTGCCAGCCTTGCATTACCTCCCATTTACCTTACTTTTTCAAACCCCCTACCCCCCCCCCCCCTTCCGCCCACCACCCCAACGGAATAGCGGCTCTCAAGCCTACGTCTCGCTTCTCCCAGATGGAGAGTGTTTGCTCCCTATGTGCGTCCATCATCTGTCCCGCTCGCCTTCCTGGAAGATTACATTCTGGGCAGAGACCTTAATTATATGGCCTGCCCTCGTGTACCCAGTCCCCGTCTCATCATATTAGTGCTCTGAGATGAGAATCTGGAGTTGTTGTTCTCCAGTTATCGCTCCAACCACTTACAAGAGCTGTCAGTGGATAACTGCCCTACATCTCGCCATAAGCGGCAGTGGAGGAGAAACAAAACAGTATATCTGTTCTTGTTGCAGAGAAAACATTTAAGATTCAGTGGTGGTATTGTCATGTTGCTGTTGGTCGGAATCCTGCAACTCTAGGATCACTACTTACTCACTTTCACGCGTGAGATTAAAAAAAAAAGAAGAAAAAAACACTGCATAGTTTTAGGTGGCATTATACTTTATATTGCTATCAATTATTGTCAAAGGAAAACCTCGCAAAAATTATATTCTGGCATGGCAGTGAAATAGATGAATTTATCTGCACTCAAACGTACCCACGTGGCCCAGGTGCTCTTCCATATGAGAGCATTTGAACCCCGCTCTGTGTTCGTGTTCTTCTTTGAAGAAGTATGGAGAAAATAACGAAGATAACACAATTTCTACTTTGACTACAGACTTGACATTGCGATTCTAAAGACTGTCGGAGAGCTGATACACAAACAAACAAAGGTATGTTGATTGGTAGGCTTGCAACATGTAAGAAGACATTTAGCCTGCGAAGATTTGCAGCAGGTGTGCTTCAGAACATTTCATTAGCCTCACGGTTGGAGACAGGCAATCAGATGTCTTTTGTCGCTGCATTCGATGCATCACACGGACACCTGAGACATCGTTGGGTCCCCTGACATCGTTGGAGCGTTTGATGTGTCACATCACATGGGCACTGCGTATTATCTTCTTCTCTGGTCCTCACTTACTCTCACTTAGACCTCTCCTTGTCTTGAAGCCACTCGTCCTTCCCTTTCCTCTTCTTTATCACTTAGGAGGGCCTCCACAAGATCTATCATGTTGCATCATGCATTTCTTGATGGCTGACATAGCGGGTGGGGTTCCTGTTTATCACAAGAATTTAGTATGAAAATCTTACAGACGCCTGCAGTAAAGCAATCATATGATAAAAAGTCAGGTGCGGTACAATGCATTTTCTCCATACAAGATCTTTTTTTTTTTTTTTTTAATAAAACATTTGAGAACAAGCACAACTATCTGTCAAATTCACTGAAGTAGTTAAGTAGCATTCAATTGTTGGTACATATTCTTTCAAGAAAGATTAGCCCACAATGGCCACGGCCCTGCAGGGTGTCTTGAATCTGCCTGTTACAATGAAATGTCAAGGCATCTAGGAATGAACTGTGATGTCCAGTAGCAGGACGCTTGGTCACAGCCGCAGGCACAACAGAAGAAAGACACAAAGAAGATGGCTAAAAACACCCGAAAATGACTTGGAACAAGACAAAGGACTACACTGAAGAGCCTTGATCTAAATCCTACTGAACAAGTGAGGAAGGAGCTGATATATAACATTTGGAAAAAGAATCCTTCAAACGTGAGACAGCTGGAACAGTTTGCCCATGTAAGGTCGGCCAAAATACCTGTCGACAGGTGCACAAGACTCTACTCTTATGGGGTTACATGATCATAGAGTATGATCATCGGGTAATTGCCTCAAACAGTTGTGCCAGAAATCTGAAGTTAAAATGATCATCATCTTTGTCAGGTCACTCTCATTTATTATTGTTTTTAAATAAATCAATTGGGCCCCAAAAAGCAATGCCTGTTTTTCATTAGTTAATCATGAATAATATTTTTGTTCATTATTAGTACTTTTGATAGCTTTGTGTTATTTGGGTGACCAATATGAGTTTTTTTCTTTTTTTAATTGAAAGATACCAAGAAATAAGCCTGTGTGTAAAAAAAAAAAAAAAAAAAAAAAAAAAAAACCCTAGATGAATTCCAACAAATTATGCACAAAATGTGTAACTTTTTTTTTAATGTTACACTAAATTCTCATGATAGCTCAAAGCAGGGGAAAAGAAAGTGAGGGTCGATCAACAGAAACTTCAGTTCAGTTCACTTGCAAAGAGAACTATTGGCATGGTCTGAAAGAAAACGAACATTTGGTCAATCCAAACAAAAGCTTCCCATCAAACAGCGCAGCTTTGTAAAAATATGAATGGTTAAATCAATTAACACAGAATAACACGATTTCATTGGGTAATTTTTGATTGACGCCATGCTTGCCATGCCGCATATAATTTGCAAGCGGTGAAGCAGCTGTGGTTTTAGACAGTGAAACCACGTTGAAATTGATTCTGGTTCCACTTCTCGACTAATATGATCAGGGTGGCTACCCACAAGCTGCTTTCCATCATTTCCGATCCTGGGTGAGCTTCGGTGCTGACAAAATGAAAGCAGCCCTCAGATCTGTGGGGGCTGTTGTGTTCTCGCCAACTGTTTCGCAGACTTTGCGATTGACAATTGTTTACATGGCTGTTGATACACTCTATACTCCCCATTCTATACCCCCACAACCACATGTGTGTGACAGAAGTGCCCCGCCCTCCGCCCCCAACTGCTCGGGAAATAGCAAAGCGCACACACACACACACACACACACACACGCACACTTGTCTAACACACACTTATGTTGACAGAGGATATGGGGGCCCGCAGCAGCCCTGTGAGGGGTGAAAATGAAGTCTGTGTTGGTTTCACAGGGCCTTCCCTCGGGGCCAGGAAATGAGATGACCACAGTGTGTTAGTGATGTGATCGCCACAAAGCGCATTGGCTCACACCTTCCCAGTCACTTTTGACAGATATAAGCATCCGCTTGAAGCACATCTGTGAACATGTTGAGGCATACATCCCTGACACGTAGAATGTGAGAATACATGGTATAACTACGCAGCGTGGGACATTGCACTTCGCACGGACGAGACGCCCTTACATACGGACTGCTGTTTTTCACTTTTGCAGTTCACTTGGCATTGAACGCTGTGTGTGTTATGTGTTGTGTTTATTATTTTACTTTATGTTAACCGTTTTGTTAAGCGCTTTGTTACAGCTGCCGCTGTTGTGAAAGCGCTATATAAATCAGCATGTATTGTATTGTATTGTATTGTATTTTCAAAGGATTGTTGAAAGCCGACAAAAGCAACGGTCCTCGGATCAGTTCTTTACAAAACGCCAGGCAAAAACCATGTGTGTGTGTGTGTGTGTGTGTGCGCGCGCCTATTGCACGTTCACTCATTCATAATTGTAACAGTATCCGGCTTCAAAATGCAGCTCACGGTTAAACGAGCGAGTGGAGGATTTGAGGAACAAAACTTTGAAGATGCTGCGACTTCATTCAAATCTCTGACCTGGATGAACGGACGCTTCACAGTTGAATACAAAGACAAGGGAGTGAAAACAATTGAAAGACATTTTCCTTTTTCCAAGCATGCTAGGTTGATATTTGTCCCGTATTTTATAGAAATACAATCATATGATTGAGCTTCTCCTGTGTTAGTAGTGTCTACTGGGACAGGTTTTGAACAGACATACCGTGCCACTTAAGATAAACACAATCAAATAAACCGCGCAGGGGGAGAATTAATTGCCAAATATTTAGATTCAGGGCGGCTAACCACTGGTCCAGTGGTTAGCGCGTCGACCTCACAGTGCAGAGGTAGCGGGTTCAATTCCAGCTCCGGCCTCCCTGTGTGGAGTTTGCATGTTCTCCACAAGCCTGCGTGGGTTTTCTCCGGGTACTCCGGTTTCCTCCCACATTCCAAAAACATGCATGGCAGGCTGA